TGTAGAGAGGATAACACAAGCCCACCACTGATTCCGCTTCGTTGTAAAAAGCGGAGACGCAACTAATCGTCGCCTCCAAACGAAACGAAACGTAAAAGACCAAAAATTATCAGGTTTTCATCAGATTTGCGTTTCGTTCTGAACAGCTTAAGCGCTCTATTATCTTAAAATGCTGAAACTAAAATATAATCTTGGAGAAGTCTAGTACACACAGGGCTACGAAGCAGGCGCGTTGACACAGGAAATCCAAACCTTCGAAACTTATTCACTAGTGCTTCTTCAGGGCAAGCATACCTTTGTTTCAAATATGCTCTTGGACCAAGTTTTAGGATTGCAGCCGTTTCCTGTAGTTTATATGGATCTCGTCACTGTTCAGGCTGCTGTTCGTAATTGCAAGGCAAGAGTTACCTTTAACTCACATGCTCGGTAACTATCTCAAACTTTGAGTCGAGACACGACGACGTCGAATGGGCCTTTGATCTGGAGCGTAATGGAAGCACGATACGTAAAGTCGAAAGGGTCTTTCACCGTCTTGAAGTCGAACTGACTCAAGAGCTTAGCGAGTGTGATTTTTACCTCCGCCAGTGCAAACTTCATACCCAGACAAATGCGTGGTCCACCGAAGAACACACTGAACTTAAACGGCGACACCATCTTGATTTTCCCTGAAATGGGGTCAATCCAACGCTCCGGCTTGAACTCATCGACGTCTGGACCCCACACAGTCGTCATCCTCCCCATACAGTAGTGAGGCAGTACAATTCGCGTCCCTGCCTTGATCAATGTGCCCTCGTACAGACGTACATCTCTCGTCGCGGAGCGTCCAGACACAGCAGCAACAGGGAAAAGTCTCAGTGTTTCTCGGACAACCGCTTCCAGGTAGACGAGTTGCTGAGTGTCTTCCAAGGTTGGTGAGCGCATGTTGCCACTCACGAGGTCTGGAAGTTTGTCTTTAATCTCGTGTCGAACGCGCTCCAATACCTTCGGATATCTGTTGAGCATCAAGATGACCCACGACATGGTCGTCGCCGTTGTCTCCCGTCCAGCTGCTAAGAAACTGATGACGAAGTCGCGCATCAGTTTGAGGTCCTTCTTCGTATGCACACCCTTCGTATACTCAACCTCAGACTTCTCAATAAACAGGGTGATGAGGTCTTTTCGACTGTTTTCTTTTACTCCCTGACGATTCTTCTCGTCAATTGAGCGAGAGATCACTCCATACACCAGATCGTTCACCACTTTAATATCTTCAGCCAACTGTTTCTCCGCACCGACATTAAGCCAGCGCAGCAGTTTCCAGA